ACGAAATTCAGTTTTGATCTAGCCAGCAGTAAAATAGCAGCAAGTGCAGGAAACAGGTTTAAGTTATAGGTAAGGTAAGGATATTAAAAAAATTATTTCTTTAATATCCATTCATTTTCTTTTCGGCTTAGTCCCTTTATTAATCAGGAGTCGCCACAGCGGAATGAACTGTCAACTTATCCAGCATGTGTTTTACACTGTGGATGCCCTTCCTGCTGCAACCCATCACTGGGAAACATTCACATACACTCATACACTACAGACAATTTTAGTGCTAGTTTTGGACTGTGGAGGAAACCCATGCTAACACAGGGAGAACATGCAAACTCCCCACAGAAACGCCAACCAACCCAGCCGAGGCTTGAACCTGTGACCTTCTTGCTGTGAGGCGGCAGCACTACCTACTGTGCCAACATGTCGCCTCTTTCATAATGTGATTATTTGTTTTTCATTAAGTTTTGTCCTGTCATGATAGCATTTCTCCATTTTTTGAATGAAAGATACATTGCCTTTTGTAAGATTCCAAGGTGAGTCATGCTTTTAGTTTCTGGACATAAATAATAATAATTATTATTATTTAATTACAATGTTTTTCTTGATTACATGAATTGTAAACAATTCTGTCACATTTTAAATCTAAAACTAAACAAAGATTTAGTAATATATATTTGATAGGATTAATGACAACTATTTCATATTTTGTATCAAATTGTTTGATACATCCTTTCATACATGGATTATGGAAAACATTTAGATGGTGATATGATGGTAATTTTGAAATTGACAAAATAAAAAATAAAAATGATTTAAAATTTGATTTAACTGTCCACATATGTGAACACCATGCAACAAATAAGTAAAATGTTAATGTGGAGTTTTGGAATTTTATGAGTTTTTTTATTACATGTTATGCTGTCTATTACAGCTGAAATAATAGCAATGGTATTACAATATAATAAAAAAAAACATAATGTAGTCACAATACCAGTAACACATATCCATAAGGCACAATCATGGAAAACATTAACTGTTGGTAGCAACTTAATGATTTCATCTTTATCCTACTTCATTTGAATCATCTTAGTAATAAGCATCTGAAATGTAATGCACTCAAAAAAATTGTTACTTGTTTAAACTACTTAATTAAAATGAACTGAAACAACACAACTCTTGAGATTTCATTGGCACAACTTAATCCAGATGAATTTGTTATTAGTGATAAGCTAACTTAATTAATTTGTGCTGGGACAACATGAATTGTGTGGAACCCTGCATTTTTTTACAGTGCATGACATAGTATTGGGTAAAACTGATGTCTCTACAGCATGAAATTTATGTGTGTGTGTGTTAACAGTAAAAAAAATGGTGATATACTTATTAAATGTCTGTTTTATTACAATATAAGACAAACCATAACATATTTGGGGGAAACGGAATAGTAAAACAGGTTACTGAAATTTAACTTTCAATGAAACTGACTCAACTGTTGCATGATGGTTTTGGTTAATGCATTTTTAATCAAATCTTTAGTTTATGAAACATAAACATAATGATAATAAAACACATTTTCATGGATATGCATGGAGCATTTACATGGCTGTTGTGAACCATACAAAAAATAGACACTGTAACTATATTGCTGGCACTCTACTGAAAATGCCCTAAGGTGTTTGGAAAAAAAAAAAAAACTAATGAACCTTAAATTAAGAAACCTTAAATTTAACTGTCCACAAATGGGGATACCATGCATAAAGGATTACAATGCAATAAAATAAGTTGTATCATGGGCATTTTTCTTGTACATGGTAATGACTAGGAATACTGTCCCTCTAAATGCTAGAGGACAAACAGAGTCATCTGGAAAAGAAAAAAAACAATCCACGTTTTAAATGACTGTTTATCATATTCTGATTCTTTCTGATTCTTTTCTTAATATATAACTAACAGGACAACTGGATATACTATGATTGCAAAGTAATGTTGGATACAGTTTTCTGACATAAGGGGTATAGGCCTATATGTTTTTTTAAGTGTGCACAGTAAAATAAAATAAATCAGGCTGTCTCTCAAATATAAACCAAATCTTTGCCCAATGAGCTTATTTGGATAAAGACAACTTTAATAGAGATGACATTTATTGCGTTTAATCCGTAAACTTTTAAAACTACATTACCCATAAGCCCCTGTCCATCTAAGACAAGAAAGGGAAATCATGGCGCTAATATTTGTAGTTTTTCTAGGTGCAAAGTTAGGGTTAGAGTTAGGGTTGCGATCTCGTTAAGGTAATGATTACTCTAAACATAGAAAACGGATATGGTTGACTGAATCTAAGACTTACATGTAAGAGCAAAACAAAAAAGCACTTTATATCAGTAAGCGATTTTAATAGAGCTTAAATGATCGTCCAATAAGAGCGATTTCAGGTAGTGCTGTCCAGCCAATGACAACCCCGTTTAACTACAAGACACATTGCACTCTTGCCCATATATGGTCATCTATGACAAGAACGAGACGAATGTAGATTTCTATAAATGTAAAACAAATATTTACATTTCTTTCCATTAAATAATTTCAAGTTTAATGCTTTTCAATGATAACGGTGTTTTTATTAAAGCAACACATTTTGGCTTTCAAATATGTAGTCTTAAGTCTGAAATTAATTGCATCCTATGATTCTCTTTTATCATACCATAAATCATAGAGTGGAATTTGTATTTATTTAAAAAAAATGACCAGCTATGCCAGTCTATCTAACAGAAAGTGTGACAAGTAGTTTTTTAGTTACATTTCAAGTTCAATGTCATTAAATGTTGTTGTTGGTGTATTGAATTTTTTTTTTAAGTTAAAGGCTAATTTACATACTTTAGTAAGTCATTTACTGTATAATAATATACTGTATCTTACAACTTTATTATATCAAGGTTCTATTAAATTATAAAATATGTCAGTTAGTATTATGTGTATCACTGTTTTAAAGTGAATGGGCAGACAATGCTGGTGCTGGAATTAGATAATAACAAACTCAAACTCTCTATAGGCCTACAGGCCTTATGATGATATGTACAAGTCATCAGAGCTACTTTCGTGACTGTTTGTCAACAAACAAGAGATCCATTTATTGTGCTTACAAGAAATACCTGACAAAAGGTTGTTTATACAAGAAAATACTCCTGCAATAAATTCTGCAGATAATGTAAACTAAAACAATGAGTTATTTTTTTTTATATATATATATTTCTTGCATTTAAAAATTTACAGTACACATTGCTCACAGGAATAAAATACAAAAAAGGGTAGACATCATTTCAAATCATCCATGTGGAAAAAAGACTTACCGCTTCATTTGAATAAAAGCATGTGCTAAATAAAAATTTTTACAAAACAAATTTAAAGGCACACAAGGATTCAAAGACAAAAACAATATTTTCATATTAAAATGCCCAGACGTAGCATTTTTCCCCATGTTACCTAAAAAATGAAGGACAATTTGCAACTCATGTAATCAAACAAATAAATCATTGTAGCTTGGAAATGTGACTCATATGGATTACTCTCTAGATTACTCCTTGTACTGTTGTTTGCTCCTGATTTTCACCCTAGACTGTTTAACTATTTTTATAAATAAAGTTACATCATATCCAATCATCCATTACAGTTGGAGCAAAACTCTGGAGAAAAGCGCAGGTGTATCCTTTTTTCTCTCCTCTAAGCTTAGCTTAGCTTAGATTTCAAATGACAGTTCAGCGTTATCCACCTCCTCATCATCATTGTCTGAACTAAACTGGATATCCACCTCATCCATTTCGAGAAAATCATCATCAATAATGTTCGCAGACTCAACACAATTGTTAAGAACACTAGTGTACAGTTGTTGAACCGAGGACATGTGGGTTCTGAGGTAGCACATTCTTTTCTGAAGTACAGAGCGAAGTCCTAAAACTCCTTTTTCAGAAAGTCCAAAGTCCAGTTCTGTAACATAAAAAAGCACAATAATTACTCACTTCTTAAAAGGGTTCTACTGTAATTGTTTGCAGAAATTAAAGCAAAAGTGAACGTATTTAGAAGATGAAAGCAGTAGCTATTTATATATATAACCAGTTAGTTGAGCTTCTGTTAAAAACATGATTTTATGGTCATATTTTTGAAATATTAACAGAAAGGTATGAAAGACTTACTATTCCGTTCTTTATCAACATCGATGTTACTTGAAAGATCATTTAGAAGAGAATGGTCTCTTTTGAGGCATTTCCAGTGATTTCTGATTTCTTTCAGGACAACACACTCCTCTTCAGTAAGCCGGTTCAGCAGCATCAGTTGGTCAAATGCCTTTTTTTTGATGACAAGATTATCTGTGAACATGTTATCAAAAGCAGCAATGTCATCAATGGTGATTCCAACTTTTAAAATGTTAGTTATCTATATAAGTACACTTAGCAAGTTTTTACAAATCAGAGTTATGATGAATGTACTACACATTTCATTAATGACAACTCTCAAAAAGGGATTTTAGTATATTGATGGATGCTCAATTTTAGGGCATCACATAATTTGTTATGATATACAAGTTGCTAGCTGCAATAACTGATAAACAAAACGTATATATACACTGCGGAAAGCATATAAAACAACTTGGAACAGACAGATAGTGATTCTGACTAACCACTACATAAATTAGAGAAAAATTACAACAGCCAACAAGAATCAGAATATGTTTCAAGTTTTCAAGTCATTCATTCTGTTGTCTTTTTCCTCTTGTCTCTGTTTTTGTCATTAGTATTTATATTTAGCTCCGAGGCTCATGATTCACCTTTGGGCCAGTCTAGTCAAAAAAAATAATAGTCCCCACTGAAAAGGTACAAATAAATTAAGGCCCCATCTTACTGTCCCCATGGACAGATCAACAACTTACTATATGTATGCAATAAATGGTATATTACATTTTTGAGGAGCCCTAATACCCACTGTTAACAGATAAGTGACACATAACCACAGGCCATACATCAAAATTTAAACTGATAGCAAGACATACCACGCTCATCCAAGACCCACGGCCATGCATAGCCCTCTGATGCCAGAATTGTGTCAGCTGACTGCAATTTCTGAGGTGCTGCCCTGTTGTATTCATCAATAGCTGCAATGAATTTAGCTTTTTCCTCCCAAATCTTTCTGCGGATTTTGTGTCTTCTCTTGTTTCCATCTTAAAAATATGTAATAAATATGAAAAGACAATTTAAAACCTTTTTCCCATCAAACTTGTGCTTTCCCAATTCTTATAAAACAAATATTATAAAATAATGCAACAATGTTAAAACAAACATGCAGACAAACCTTAAACATCAAAACTTTTGTTGGATTTTTGATGATTTAGAAATAAAGGAAGAATAACTGCCATGTTCAGAATTCTCCAACATAGGCTCACTGAACATGTTCAGCCAGGTTATACAACCCTGATTACTGCCAACAGTCACCAACAGGAGTTAATCTTTGTATACTCAGCTATTAATAAAGACTACACCATCTCAGGCCTCAAAGCTGCCCACTTCTTTTTGGCCTGGACCATGGAAATTGACCATGTGTTTTAAGAAGCCAGATTTCAATACTCAGACAATCAGATCAATCAATCAGGTCAGATTAATCAGACAAAACCCAAATGTGTTTGAATAATATCTAAAGTTATATAACCTGATTGACGGTAAAGATCTTGCTTCCTCTGCCTGATGCTCACATAAAGCGACTCAATCGTCTTTTGGAGCCCCTGGTCACTGCCCATGTTCGCCTCACTTGTTGCTAAATTGTTGATAAGACATACATATGCACATCATGATTATATGAAAGGTATGGCATGTAATTGCAATAATAAACAATTTTACACATCATTACTGTCAGTTGTCTAAATTATGTCAATGAAAGGCTTAAAACTACTGCAGGGCAAAAAAATCAACCGTGATTAATTGCATCAAAAATAAGTTATGTATTTATGTATAATAAATGTGTGTGTACTGTTATGTCTTAAAATAAACACATGTATGATTTATATATATATATATATATATATATATATATATATGAAATACAAAATATACCTACCTGTATCAGCCCATTCCTGGATTTCTTTGCTCCAGGCTTTAAGCGTGTCATCTGTTATTGCCAATTCTGTCTTTAATGCAGTAATGTTTCTGGAAGCTTCCTGAATTTTTGCTTTTGTCTAATGAATGACAATACCATAAAGGTGCATGTATTAAAACAAAAATATAAGGGATATTTAATGAGCGTTTTAAAATAAAAGTAGAGTAGAACATTTTCATAACAAGTACACTTGAATTGAAATTCACTATGGTTTTCATGTTTTATAATGGATACCAAATTTGTTTGCAAAACAATTATTACATTTCCACCTAAGTAAGAGAGAAGTAATTTAGAAATTTACCTTTTGTAATCTTCGGGACAACAATTTTGCAAGGTTCTCAATTTTGCGTTTATTCCATGCCATGGCCTGAATAGTAATCATGTCTGTTCTAGCTATAAAAAAAAAAAAAAACATAAATCATCAAAAGCTCACATTAATGTTGCATACTAGTTTTGTAGTTGTATCACACCTTTGTGAATGATATATAATTTGTCAAAATTTGAATAAAAAAAAAAATTCATAATGAAATTCATTTTGTCAATCACTTTATCCTAAATCTGGCATTTGTGTACTTTGAATATGTTTGCAGTCATACAGTTACCTCCTTTGGTCATGTATTTACTGCATATAGCAGTTCTTGACAAGAAGCTGTTTACTTGTTCGACCTCTTCGCCCAGGGTGGTGCCTGCTCCTTCTTGGTTTCGACCACCCCATTTAATCTTGAGAGTGGAAGTGAAATATTTTACAGAATTAAACCATGTCAGACCATAGAAGCATCCAAGTCACAAACAGATACCTTCATGTTCTGGAAAATAGTTTACCTCACATTTCCAGGAGTGGGCCTTTGCATGCATCACTGACAGGAATGGCTTCATGTCCAGGAGAGGAGACAGCTCTGGACAGTCTCTAACTACTCTTTGCAGATATGGCCAGTACTTGCATATTACATCAGTGCACATGAACTGCACATTGCGTGGTGTCAGCTCCTTTTGTAGAAACATGGGATATGCAAATATTTCCCCTCTCATCATGTTCAAACTTCTTAGGAGCACACCATGCCGACAGACAGCTACCTCCATCTCCTCCTCATCCAGCTTGTTGATTTTCATTGGGACAGACTCTCGTGCTGCAGTCCATTGACTTGATCCACAAACACCTTTGCCAGATGACTTACCAAATGAGAACAAAGTAAAAGAAACATGAAGATTCAACAATGTAGTATTAAATTACATATGTGAATCTGTGTCTGTGTACAAAAATATGCTAACAGATAAACACATTTAAAAACATTTTTTTTTTTTTTTTACATTTTTATTTTACTTTATTTGGCGATGAAAAATTACAATTGTTAAAGGAATAATGGAACTTACATGCTTTGTTTTATTATTAATGTAGTCCACGAACTTGGAAACATCATCATCCTCACAGACAAAGACACCCTTAAACAGGCCATGGTCTTCAGCTCTATAAAATAGATACACAACCATTTAATTAAAAGCTTTGGTATTGAATTCAATTGGTATTGAATATTTTTTAGAAATGCTTTTCACACAGATACAGAAATTCACCTACCCTCTTTTGAAGCGATACATTTTCCTGTTGCCATCTACTGACACAGCTAGCATAAATGGAGAACAGGCTGGACAGTCGAACACTTTTAGCCCACAGAGCTGATCAATTTCAAACTGACAGTATCTCCACTCAAAAAAGCTTCTTTGAAATGCATCAGCACAGATCTTTCCATCCTAAAAAACAACAAAAACCATAAACCCAATAAGAAAATATTGCACTGCCAAAATTGAGAAAGAAATTATTTTGAAAATGTTTTAATTGATACTCGGCCAAAGAACTCTGTCCGCTGTTCCAGTAAACCGGTAAAAGACTGTCTGGACATTCCAGGAGCAGTCAGCTTCATGTGATCATAAGACACAAAGACATCTATTTTGTAAATAGTTTCGCAGCTTGCTGTGGCAGGCCAGTATCCAGAGCGGACCAACAGTGGAATGTTGGTTGTTCTGCTTACGTTACATTTTAAGCATTTGAATTCTGGCAAGCTGACATTGTAACGACCTATTGAAATAAAGTATATATAATACATTTATAATAGAAATATTAAACAATTTTTTTTTTAAATCCTCTCAGCTTACCATCAATTCCTATGAGAATTGCCTTTTTACCCTCTGACACCACAATGGAATCAATTGAACAGTTGCAAATTTCTTCAGGTGTCTCAAGGGGCAAAAGGCTATCTGGAAACAAATTTCAAACCTTAATATGATTAGCATTGCTGCATCATTATTGTAACAGAAATCTATACGATAAGTTTCAAGATTATGAACAAAAAGAAAAAACATATACATGCCTTTTTCTTCAAATAGAAATTGTCCTCTGCTATCCATCTTAATCAAAGTACTTGGGGATATGGGCCTAAAGAATCCTTCCACATCAGTTTCACGGTTGTGAAGTTTTCTTTTGTGGAGCAAAATATCACACTCTGGACATAATAGCTGCTTGGGAATGCAGTCTTTACATCGTATGACAGATCGCTTCAGTAGGCAGTGCTGGCACTGCCTAATCTCGGTATATTCAGCAGATAATAAAGAATCCAGCATCTCAGGCCTTAAAGCTGCCCACTTCTTTTTAGACTGCTCAATGCGAATTGCCCATGTGTTTGAGGAAGTCGGAATTGAACACTTAATGTGATCAGTATCACCTAGCAGGTCCTCAATTTCTTGATGAAGAGTTTCTGTATTAGGAAAAAATAAATGCAATTATAGTGTTCATGGCAGTTGGTTAGACTGACCATTACAGAGAAATACTTACCAATGCTTTCCGCTGCTGCCCAAACAGTGTGAGCAGACAGTGATGGACCTTCAAATAAGAACAATGGAGCAAATGACAAAATAGTAATAATAACCATGCACGGCTAGTTACTTTGAAAATTGTTGGAGTTATTACTCACTATGATCAATGTCTCTTTGCCCAGATCCCAAAGATGAAGACATACCTGCACTATTGATCACAGTAGCTAAAAAAAAAATAGATTTATATAATTATACATTACAGAAAATGTATGATGGTGCTACACATTATAAGAAATATGTGTGTGTCCACTACAATAATACACAATAATCTAAAATTTATTATAGCCATACCATCGCAAATGTTTGCCTTGGAAGATTTCTGCCTTCTTCGTTTAGGCACAAGATGACCAAACTGATCCCTCTCCACGAATGAAACTGGTTTGGGAAGGGAGCTGCAGGCACGTTTGGTCTTCTGTGTATTTAACTAAAAAGACATATATAGGATGTTGAGCAAAAACTTTGATATCTATTAACAGCTAACAAACTAAGATTTAATGAAGCTATTAAAATAGTATAAAATAAATTGCTTGAAAAAAAAACATTACTGGTGGAAGGTTAAACGTCTGTAGAACTTGTTCAGCCTCCCTGGTAGCTGCTTCAAGTGCAGAATTTGCTGCTTTGCATTCAAGTTCCCTTGTAAGAATGGCAGCTTCCTCACATAACTGGTCAAAATCTGACTTTTGACAAGATGCCATATTGAAGAGAAAAAAAAAGTGAAAATATAAATTGTGTATGTGTGTGTGTGTGTATGTGTGTGTGTGTGTGTGTGTGTGTGAGAAAGAGAGAGAGAGAGTGTGAGAAGAAGATGAGTATGAGAGAGAGAGTGAGAGAGAGAGAGAGAAATTGAGTGAGATTTTAGCTAATGATGGCTCTTAAAAGAGCCGTTGTGTTGTATTTAATGGAGTGAAGAATAGATGAATGTGATGAGAGTGAGAGAATCTGCAAGACAAAGCAAATAACAGTACTGTAAATAACTATACATAAGCATTTCCACATGTACAAAATACTATAATAATTTGCAAATAAATACTGCAACGTTTTGAATCATATAGCAAAGTGCATTATATTTTAAAACTTGCAATACAAGACTTTGATAACGAATACTACAGCATACTGTAGTATTGACTATTGGGAAAAAAAAGTACCGTGGTATACAAGCTTTTACCACAGTAACTTTGGTGTATATAATATACCCTAGTTAAAACGTGGTAAAGTATTGAGTAATTTGTTTACATTACTGCAGCTGTTTAGTTACCATAGCAACTCAAGAATCAACAAAACCGTTCGCTAGTATTTACTATAAATTACTATAGTATTTTACGCGGGTATACGTCACAAGGTAGAAACGCACAAAAATACAGACGCACAGATGACTGATGACATCCAGCAAACAATAGCATTAATTTCTTATTGATAAATGACTGCTAATGCACTTATATAGAACATTTAGGAGCCGTGTTACAGTGTACTTACCAAGAAGTGGCATATGCAAACTGCAGTAAATATCGCGATGGTTTGCAAACGAGAAGAAAAAAACCCATGAGATGGCGCTTGATTAAATCGTACGAATTAGTACGAATTTACAGGTGATCTAAAGGCGGTGAATAAATCGTACGAATTCGTACGACCCAGCTCGTACGAATTCGTACGATTTAGCCACTTGGTTACTACGTACGAATTCGTACGATTTCGCTGTGAGATAGGGTTGGGTTACACCAACAGAAGATCCAGTGGGTGCCAGTTCCCTGGAAGTCACCTAAAATGAAGAATAAAAGTAAAAAAAATAAAATAAAAGATTCTAAACCACATAAAAGCACAGAGCAATCTGAAGATTCTGTAATTCTGCAATATCAGAATTTGATATAAAGATCATAAAAGCACACAGAAGTTCTGTCTTTTATGAATAATTTATGATGAAATAAGTAAAAACACACCTCTTCTCAAGCCACATTCACTCTTTTCAATCCGTCAAATGATTTGGGATATAAAACACTGATTTCTTAGGATTTTTTAAAAGATGTTTTAAAATATGCTTTGAAACAGGTGGGCTACAGCAACAGAGGACCCAGTGGGTGCCAGTTTACTATCACCTAAATTGGAGAATAGGAAATCGAAAAAAAGGTTGCCTTGTCCACTGAGCCTTGATTTTCTTGATTTCCAGTAACACCATAAAAGCATGAGCGATCCTGTTTTATTTCAATAATCCATGATGAAATAAATAACAACACACCTCTTCTCAACTCACACTCATACATGTCAATACGTCAAATGGTTTGGAATAGAAAACATGCTGATTTCTTAGTTTTTTTCTTTTTTCTTCCCAAAGCAAGCTTTGTTAATTACACCTGAACGCTGCTTTCTTTGTGTATAGAACAACTAGGAGACCTTGGCTAGAAATGAACTGATACATCCAGTCATAATGGTTTCCAAGCAACAGGTAAATTCACAATAGACGCAGCTGTAGTTTAAATGGTTATTCACAGTGGGAGTCACATGCAGCTCCTCTGGAAGTCAATCTACATCTGCTTTAAACGGCAACCTTGAAGCGCTACACAATGTTCACAGCACTGGATTGATGACTACTGCTTTTCATCTGAAATATAAAAGGTATATGAAAGAAAAAATCATCGCATCAAGATAATAAAGCCTCATGTTTGCTTGTGATTGTCCAAAAAGTGTTGGATTCTAAGCACAATGTAAAGTTTGATAGAATCAATGCTTTTTGCCTCCAGGTTTGTTATGAAATAAGCTACTTAAAGGCAAAGAAAGCAGTGCTAAGGCGCAACAGCATCAATAAGCCGGCTGGAGCAGTGTGACGTCCATAACCGAACAAGAGATCCATTCAAAGTTGCTCAATCCTGAGACGCATAATCAGACGGGGCATTTTTTTCAGCTGAACCTTTGCGTTAGGGTCATGAACCGCTACCTAATAAGACCATCATGATCACCGGTCATGTGATCGATGTGGGGATGTTGTTTCTTATGAAGTTGCGCAGATCTTTAATTTATAACATAGCTGAAGTCTTAATTCAGATTTGTTTTACTTCTTAATTGTCACTAACTATTTTTGAACATGACAAGTTCAACTTAAATAATCCCCATCTTCGACACTTTAGTGCATAGATTTAAGCTTGGTTTTATTTTAAAGAAGACAGATATTAGATTGTAGCTGAGGTGAATAGTAAAAAAGATAAAATAATATTAATGTGCCTTTATGTATTATAAAATAAATCATATGTATTATAGAACAATATGCAGATTTTACAAAATATGTTTCAGCCTAAAATTGACAGCAAATCAAAACTACACATCTAAACAAATTATGTTCCAAATTTGAAATTGATATCTCAAAAAATTGCTTTCAGTAACATTTTGTTTAGCTGCAGTACCAAACATCACCACCAAGCATACTGCCTTACAGGACATACATTGACCATACAAAGATGGCCCCTATGTTTTGAGGAATATTATTTTTTTCATACTTTTGACAATATTTGTAAAGTATAAAATTCTAAAGTAGTATGGGCGGTTTGGAGTATTTGATTCAAGTTTAGCAACCCATTCTAAAAATGTACCGCTATATACATTAATAGAGAGCTGTCACGATTAACAGCGATCTAAATCACCATAGATCGCTGGAAAACACTCGCAATCGCCAACGAAACACAAATCTGCCATTTCATTGTTAGTGTTTTCCAGAGATCTATGGTGTTAAGATCACTGGTGGTCATGGCAAGTGCGCCAAATACGTCCCAGGAGCTACGTTTTTGCAGTCTTTGTTTTTACGAAATTTTTTGAGATCTCAAATTTCTCTCGCAAGTGCCATTCACACCTGCATAAATCCACCAGAGGCCACATTCGACTGACTGACTGACAGATTGATCCACCCTCCTCCTTCCCTAAATCCAACCAACAGTGTTTTCAAAAGCACTGATTGACCCCCTCACTCACTTCCCTAAACCCAATTGACAGTTTTAAATAAAGAATGAAGAAAAAGACAAGCCCTCGCCCAATTTTTACCATGTTTTTGGATTTTACCACATTCTCACCGTATTATTTACTTGCTTATTTTACTTTTTGGCTTCTGTTTTTGTCTTACCCGTCTTCTAATATTGTTCTTCGCTGGATTTGGACTTCGTTGTTGTGGTCAACTCCTCTCTGCGTTTCAAGTTCGCTGACGTACACGCCCAGCTACTGAACAAATTGTCTATTTGGGAATTTAGCCTCTAAGCACATGTGATACACCATTGTGTATCCAAAGTAGTAATTTGTGTTTTGTCATTAATGTATCTATTTATTTATGTATATACTGTAAAAGCCATTTATTATCACTACTAATGACTGGGTTTGAAACAAAATAATATCAACAGTTGAGAAAGCATGCACTGTGGGTTACAATGGCGATACTTGTTGTGTTTACTTCAGATGCTACTAAGCTGCGCCTGAGGAAAGACACTGAAGTTTTCTTGTGATTTTGTTTCTCCTGATAATTCAGGTATGTTTCATAAAAAAGTCAATATGTTTATTATAATTCATGTAAAACATGTGAGTACACAAGTGAATAGCTTATTTACAGTTGTTAATTGAGAGGAGTGATTCAGATGAAAGTACCAGTAAAATGATATTATATGAATTATAACTGACTCCCTAGTAAATGATATGTATTTTATTCAGTATGTGATAATTGAACAGAAAGTGACTTATTATTTGTTTATAGTGTTTGTTTATTTGTTAATGTATAAAGTTTATGAGAATAGATAGTAACATTAGTAATTGGTGTCAAGTGTAACTGTTACAATTTTAATGATACAAATAACAGACGCATGATTGTTCAGTGAGTTTAGTAGTCTTATGGTAAATGGTTATATACAGAGGTATTTACAAAGAAAGAAAAATGAAATAGATGATTGACAAAGGATTTAAAGTGTAATCTGTGTGCTACTGATAAATGTACAGAAAGTATCATATTTATGTGTTAATGAGAGTACAGTGTATAAGTATTTGAAGACTTCATTGTTGTAAAAAAAGAAAACAAAACTGTATGTGTAGCGCTGCCACATAATTGAGTTATGCTTTCTGTTATGTTCATTAAATGTGTGAATAGGCCTGGCAGTACAGCATACTCACAGTTCTTATAGTTCCGAATATACAAATGAGTAATGGACTTTTATTTTAGATTCTTTATTTTGAAGGGATGAGGTGAGGTGAATGTGTCGGTGTTCTATTTCCTGTTTTGTTGCTCTTTTTCTATATATACACATTTACATAACATACACACCACAAACTACATCACAGTAGGTGGCGATATGCACCTTTAAAGTTGGTTCGCAACTCGCCATAAAACCAAGAAGAAGACTACACACCGCAAGGGGGAGATAGAGGGCACCTTGACATTACTCACGGTGTCATTTGAAGAAGTCAGAGGAGCACATGGAGACAGAGGCTGTTTCTCAATTCCAAGAACGCAGAGAACGGACTTGCGTTCTTGTGGAGACCGGTCTTGCCAGGTGTCCTTGGAAGAACGAACTCAGCAGACCGCGAGGGCAGAGAGCGCGTCCTTTGAGAATTGAGATGCTGCGTTCTTCCTGATGGTCACGTTACCTTCACGTGTTTTAAATGGTAAATTATTTAAACATTACAGCACTCATACAACGATTTATTGTTTTTCCCCTTTTTAAAATATATACTTTGCATAAAAACATTAAAAATCGATGTTGCACAATAT